CGTCACTCGTGCTGCTCCTCACGGGAGCTGCTCCCTCCACGCCACGCTCTATTGCCATTAAAATACCTCTATTCCTACTAAAACGCCTTTATTCCCGCTAAGATACCTCCCCCCATATAACTTTATTCCCACTAAAATATCTTTACTCGCGCTAAGATACCTTTGTTCCTGCTAAAATACCTTTAATCCCCGGAAAATGCATTTATTCCCACTAAAATGCATTTATTTCCTCACGGGAGCTGCTCCCTCCACGCCACACTCTATTGCCATTAAAATACCTCTATTCCCACTAAAACGCCTTTATTTCTGCTAAAACGCCTTTATTCCCACTAAGATACCTTCCCCCCCCCCAAAATAACTTTATTCCCACTAAAATATCTTTATTCGCACTAAGATACCTTTGTTCCTGCTAAAATACCTTCCCCCCCAAAAAAATAACTTTATTCCCACTAAAATATCTTTATTTGCACTAAGATACTTTTGTTCCTGCTAAAATGCCTTTATTCCCACTAAAACGCCTTCATTTCTACTAAGATACCTTTCTCCCCCCAAGATAACTTTATTCCCACTAAAATACCTTTTTTCCCACTAAGATAACTTTATTCACACTAAAATACCTTTCCCCCCAAGATAACTTTATTCCCACTAAAATATCTTTATTCGCACTAAGATACCTTTGTTCCTGCTAAAATAGCTTTATTCCCCTGAAAATGCATTTATTCCCACTAAAATGCCTTTATTCCCACTGAAACACATTTATTTCCTTTAAGATACTTTATTCCCACTAAAATACCTTTTTTCCCCCGCTAACTTTATTCCCACTAAAATACCTTTTTCCCACTAAGATAACTTTATTCCCACTAAGATAACTTTATTCCCACTAAAATACCTTTTTTCCCACTAAGATAACTTTATTCCCACTAAAATACCTTTATTCCCACAGAAATATCTTTATTCACACTAAGATACCTTTGTTCCCCCTAAAATATCTTTATTCCCACTAAAATGCCTTTATTTGCACTAAGGTACCTTTATTGACACTAAAATATTTTTATTCCCACTAAAATGCATTTATTCCCATGAAGATAACTGTATTCCCACAAAGATACCTTTATTCCCACTAAAATGTCTTTATTTGCACTAAGATAACTTTATTCCCACTAAAATGCCTTTTTTCCCCCACTAAAATGCCTTTTTCCCAATAAAATATTTTTGTTCCTACTAAAATGCCTTTTTTGTATGTTTTGGGGTTTTTTTTGCCATTTGACAGCAACTCATGTGCAACTCTGACTCTTTCTTCCTCCTCCTCCTTTGAAATAGTCTTTCACAAGCTGTTTGTCTGACCTTCCATCAATCCACTGCCTCTCCAAACCCAACCAACTACTTCTGAAACACCTCACAAAATCTGGCCTTTATGTTTTGGGCTTTGCAGGCTGCTCGGAGTGGAGAAAAAACTCGGCACAACTACAATGATATCATCAACAGCAAATGCTAAATTTGGGTTCTGCACTATCTTTCACCACTCAGCCAAACTCCAGCTCCCTTCCAGCCTTTTGACAGGTGCCACTCCGTAGGCGGAACCTTTGGAGTGCTGACCTGCCTCGTTTGGAAGCCGCCCAAAATTGCCACACGCGTCCTATTTTGGATTCCTGACAATTCCGTTCACAGGACCAAGCACTCGCCACACTGCTCAACTGGAGCTCTCCTTCCAGCTGGAAAATGCCAAAACAGACCTGCCATCTCTTCCCTCTCCCTCCCCGGGGAGGAGGCAGCAGAGAACCACAAGTTTTAGCTTTATTTTATGTTCCCGGCTTGTGATAGTGATTTTGAGCCCATGAAGTTCTCACTGGTGTACATAAAGGGAATTGAATCTGTTCTCCAGTGGGACAGCAGCCATTTCATGTAGAGGATTGGTTAGAAATGCGAGGACATATGAACATGGCTAAGGCTTATGGATGAGCTGCTAAAGTATAAGACTACTGCTAAAGTATAAGCAGTTTCCCTAGGCCCATGAGAAAGTTAGAGATAGCAGGGCCGTGAGAAAGCTGCAGTGTCCTTGGGTATCCTAAACTGAGCTGAGAAACAGGAGCTAGGCATTACCAAAACAAAGGCACTTAATGAGCCACCTGTGTAAACAGTGGAAAGCAGTTAAGATGATATCACCACCTAACCGAGTACCAATAAGGAGCCTAATTTCTGTAATATTCATGAACCTATTATAGAGTGTATATTAAGCTACTATCAATCTACAATAAACGAAGTTCCTGGATTCTCATATTGAGGTGTCTAGAGCTTTCCGTCGCGACGTTAATTTCATCCCATCATTCTTTGGAGATTCCCAGACATCTGCCCTTCCTCACGCTGCCTGTGAAACAGCACAATTTGTACTCGTGCCCCTGAGACTCCAGCATGCTCTGCCCTCCAGAAACAAGGCCAAGCCAGTTTTCTATTTAAAAAAGGCTTACTAAGGATCCTAAGAGCTCCTGTCAGTTCTTTCGGTTAAAAGAAAGTCTTGGTGAGATGGAACAAACCAAAATTAAGGCTGTCCTGTGTTATTCTGACCCACCCATCCCATAGCACTAATCAAGATCCATCTGATTACTCTCACAGTTGCTGTGGGCAGCTGAGTTCTCTCAGCTCTGTGCTGAGGAAAAATGTTATCTCTTAAGGCTCCTGCTACTGGAGTCTCAAGGGTGAGGGTACCAAAATGCCCTGGTTAGCAGAGATTTACTGAGCTGGAGATCTGCAGCCTGGCCTCTTAAGTCCTTCCTTTTCCTCTGCTTCATGGATGGGGCAACTCCGAGAGAAAATCAGGAGCCAGCACTTAGCCAAGCCACAGGAGAAGGCCTGTGTTTTGTTTTCAACAGATTAGACAATGAATAGTGTGTGAGACGTGAACAGCTGGAAAAGAAAAAGATAACCCAGGGTTACAACACAGAGCCACTAACAAGAGCTCCATCTTTGCCCAACAATGCCTCAGTTTTAGGGTGCTCCTCTCTCAGTATCTCCCCTGCAATCGCTGTATCCGTGCAGAATTCCTGAACAGCAGCTGTCCCACCTGCTATGGGAAAGAAGGACAGAAGCAGAACCTTTACAGGTTAACAATCCTACCAAACTGCCTGTCCAAACATTTTAAGTGTCTCTTACAACGAGTTTACTCACAACTGCAACAGGATTTCCACCCTGAAGGGTAAAATGCAGATTTTATGTAATTTTACAGTACTAGTACTGATCAAAACAAAAAGTGGTTTCTCAAAGCAACCCAACATGGGCACAGACTGGGCATTGGCCCAGTTGTATTTAAGTATCTTGCTGGCCATAGGGATTTATTTATCCTGTATCTCTGACCCACTCCAGTGACCCTAGACTGTGTGCTTCCTCCAGACTCCTCACACTCCAGCAGGTTTGAAAAAAGTCTATCGCTTTTCTGCCCCCCTCTTTTTGTTTTACCTTCAGGAAGAAAATCTTTTGGTAAGACTCCTGATTTCTCCCTTTCTGACTGTTGCATACACCTGCTGCAAAGACACTACTAAACACACTGAAAGGTTTGGATTTGCCAAGTCAGCTGAACACCAAGAACAGCCTCAGCTGGGCCTCACTGACTGAAGGGCTGATGTGCAGTGAGGTGAAGCCCAAAGGGAAGTTGAAAAGAGGAAGGAAATGAGGAAACTTCATCAGAGAAGCATGTCAGGTTCTGTAAAAAGAAAGCAAGCTCCACTGCAGTGTCAATCAAACCTTTGCTAGTCCATCCTCCACCTCAGTTTCCTGTCCAGACATTACCTGGACATTCACTCAGCTTTTTTTCTAGGCAGGTGGTACTGACCAAATTGATTCTAAAAAGAGCACTTTTCCCAGTTCCAAGTGTTCTGCTTCCCCCATGCCACCCTTCAGGCTCGACAGACCTGCCAGAGCTTCAAATCTCAGCCTCCACCTCAAAATCAACAGGTTTTCTAGACTGGCCAGTGATCTTTCAGGTGAATCACATGTTTACAAAGAGACTGAAGATAAGATGGAGCACACAGGGAGTTGCAGGCTCAGAAGGGAAGCTACAGCCAGTAATCCCTGCTCTCCCCTTTTGACAGGGAGCCACTCGCTCATTTTTAGAGAACAAAGTAAGCTGGGGACTCTGTCTAAGCCTGTAAAACTTCAAACTAATCTCCCAAAATGCACTAAACAAGGCACCTTTAACCTCCAGACCTTTCTTTCTCTTTCTGAAAACCTCTTTGCTATTCAGGCAACAAATTGCTCTGAGATCAGCCCCTGGACAGCATTAACAGGTGGTATCTGAGCCCTGGTTTATGAAGGAGCAGTAGCAGAATTTAATGGGAAGCTGTTTCACTTCATAATACAATTCACATTGTGAGGTACAACACTTTCCATTATGAAACTATAAAAATATATTCCCAGAGTCTGAAACAAGTTCAATAATTTACACTGAAGATGCAAAAGGGATCAGGTGTTATCTAGGAAGACCTGTCCCAGTACTGCAAGCTTGGAGTTAAAAGATTGACTGGGGCAACTCAGGAGGGAGTGTGAGCTCTTCTTAGATCTTCTCTTCTCTCCAGTTTTCTCTGCATCTTCGGGGTCTTTTGCACTCTCCCCTTCACCGGGGTCAGAGGGTCTTTTTAAAGTGAATTTCTTGGTTTTCTTCAGTGAGTAGAATTCCCGCATCAAGTCTTCGACCTCCCACTGCTCTTCCTTGCGCTTCCTGCAGCAGTGCAGGGCAGCAGGATCGATGGGATGAGCCTCTGTGTTGAAGATGTAGCCTCCAGCATTCAAGACACACTCCCCATAGGGTGTAACCACCACGTCGAAGTCTGAGCCATCGTTGTGGATGAAGTTGCCTGGGTCAAACAGCAGGTACAGGTATTTGATTGTTTCAGCCAAAAAGAAGGATTCCATGCGATTGTCCAGCCTGTGATCCCTCAAGTCTTTGATCTACAAGGGAAGAAATAGAGTGGGTTACACTTATATCAAATTCAGTTAAGTTATGAACTCGGGGTGGGGGGAAATAAAGCCAGCTTGCAATTCATTTCAGTTAACAGCCCAGTATGACATCAGTTCACCCTATTTCTTATCACAGAATACTTTGGGTTGTAAGGGACATTAAAGACCATCTTATTCCACCCTCTGCCACAGGTAGGGACACCTTCCACTAGCCCAGGTTGCTCCAAGCCCAGTCCAACCTGCCCTTGGACACTTCCAGGGATGGGGCAGCCACAGCTTCTCTGGGCAGCCTGTGCCAGGGCCTCCCCACCCTCACAGGGAAGAATTTCTTTCTAACATCTAAACTTGCCCTCTGCCAACTCAGTCTAGGCAAGGAGAAGAGCTTCCCATCATTTCCCCTACTAAAGAAAAAAAAATCATAAGGTTTTTACCTATTTTCCAAATCATAAGACCTAATTCCCATTATATATTAAAGGTTTTTTGTAAAAGTATGTGGTGGTAGTTGATGGTATGTTTGAAATCCCCATTAAATGATGTTAGAGAAATCACTCCCTGCAGTTCTTGTGTGTTTGATCAGATTTTCAAGGCATAGTGGGAAAGCAGAATCCCACATGAACGTGGCAGGCAGGTTCCTACCCCTGAACCTTCCTGCTCAGGTGCTACACCTGGTTGGGGTGCAGGAGAAGCTTCTGATGCCTTCCAGGGTTTTGGGCTCTGGTGCAACAGCCCACGACAGAATTTGGCCCAGTGTTCACACTGTGAGGGAAGTTACTACCAGAAACATGACCAGATCAGCTTCCCAGAGAAATAAAAGGGGCTTTTTTGAAAAAGAAGTCATGTTTCCACCAAAGTGACCACTTAACTCAATGGGAAAACACAATTAATGAGAACACCTTCTAAAAGCTGATTTTCAGCAGCCATTTAGCTGATTTAGCAGATGATTTAGCACTCACAGTTGCAAACCCACAGTCCACCTTGCTGATTTTCTCTATTGACTCCACTGCATCTCTTCCCAGCTCCAGGAGCGTGGGATCTCTTGTAGCACGGTACAGATACATGGCACTCTCAATCAGCTCTGCAAAGACACCCCAGACATTTGCAAATACCAAAGATTATCAAACCACACACGCAGGGATGATGGCATACTCCTCAGCTAATTTAAAAATCCTTTAGAATGATCAGATAAATAATCTAGTTACTGAATTTCCTCTGGCTCCAAGCACAGATTTGCTTTTCCTGAGGATGTGCTGCTAAGAAATTCCCTCTCACCAGCCTGGATCAGCTCAGGTAAGAGTGACTAATCCTCCCTCCCACATTCAGTGAGTGGGAGGGGGAGCAAAAGAGAAGAAGATTAAAACTCAGTTGTCAAAGGAAGAAAAAAAATTGCTTCTAGAAAGAATTACAAATAAGAAATTCAATGCCCAAAATACAATTTTAAACAATACTGTAAGTCTCTTGAAACAGGGGTATCCAAAACATCATGAAAACAAGCACCATGCAAACACTCTAAATAGGCAACATATGCACTGTGCTGTGTTTGCTTACTAAGATCTTTTTGGATGCTACAATTCATTTGAAAGTTAATGCTAATGAGTATTTTTGGTGGATTTGTCCAGTGTGGATGTCACCTGAACACTCAGACCAAAAGGAAATTAATTATTCTCATGTACAAAGTTTTATGGACCTAATAATCAGATTTGATTTTTTTTTTCAGTCAGGGTTGTAAAAAATCAGAAAAAAAAGATCATTTCATTGCAGTATCACAGACAACACAGAATCTCTCTTAGATCTTGAGCTTTACTAGTGCAACCAGAATGAGTTCATTTCAGGAACCCAGCACAAGTACAGTGGTCTATTCAAACTCACTTTCACTTCCTAAATTTAAAGGACACAAACAGTCCCTTTAACATGACTGAAACATCTCATGTCAGACAATCTAACACTTAAATATGTCAAGTCCTACACTGTGAAGCCAATTCATTAAGGGGCCTCCTTTTTATGGTAACATTGTCTTCCTTCCTTGAAAGGCAGCCCTGTCTTTGTGAATGGTGGAAAACAAAACGTGCAGTTTTGACTCTGCAAACTCCTGGTGAGGAACTGAGTCAGAGCAAAACTGGAGGAGGAATTTGTGGAAGGCAGGTATTGCTAACATTTGATCTCACCACCACAGCAAAAGCAGGAGTCCATGGCCCTTTTAATTCCACTTCTGCTTACCAGGCCTGAGTGGATATCCCTCTCTCTTGTCCACTGTGTAGCCCTGGGGAATGTTGTAGAACTCAGGCAGCCCCCCAAACTGCTTCCAGACAGTGTAATAGTTGAGGAAGGTCCTCATGGCATTATCCACATCCCCAATTAGGCTCTGGGAGAGAACAATTAACAAAGCAACATGTGAGTGAAGAACAAACAGCAAATGAACTGATGCAGTAACACTCCTATAGGTAAAGTAGTGACAGAAATGGATATTTCAGCAGGTCTGAATGGTGGAAATAATACTTGGATATGATGCCTTAGGAATAGGTAAGACTGGAGAGTTACATGCTGCTTTTCTGCTGGATCACATTCCCACACCTGAAATAATATAAAGTCTCTGATTTTTTTTTAAAGAAGATTGTGTTTCTTCAGTCAAACGTTTAATCAATCAGAGCACTGAGTGGGGATAACAAAGTCTCAGTCCAAACACAAGGACTGATGAGAAAGCAAAGCACTCAGTGGGAAAGCATTCACACAAAGAAAGCATTTATGAGGTGATGGAAAAGAGGTGGGAATTTCTTTTTCCTTAAATTTACATCTGGATTATGAGACCACTGTCAGTGGAGTGTGCTACAACAAAACTGCCCTCCCATGATGCTGGATGGGAGACTTTTTTTGTAAACTGTAGATAAAATCAACATCTGCTCTTCCACAGGCAGAGATTTCACCAGAGGTCCAACCAAACTTTTACACCTGCACAGATGAGGGTTATATTTCTAACTTTTATATTAAAGATTGACCCATGACAGACAAACAAAATCACCATGTGCTCTGCCAGCTCTTACCTGTAAGCCTGGCCAATAGGCCTCCAGGGATTGAAACACAGGCATGGACACTGTTCCTTTGTACATCTGAACCCACAGGTACCAGTCGTCAAACTTGGTGTAATTTTTGATAGCTTTGTTATATTCTATAAAGAAAAGCAGATGGGTAGGTAAGCCAACAAAAAAAATATCTTTTTTTTAAGAATGAGAATCACTTTGGTGATTCTGTAATCACAGACTGCTCAAAAGTATCACAGCAAAGGCTTCAGGAACATTCTTGAATGTACCCTGTGAGATCCTTCATCCTCTCCTTCCACAGTGCCCGCTGCTTTTTACAGGTGCAGCCAAGCACTGCTGGGCCCCTTCACACAGAAAACCAAACACTCACCCAGAAACATGGACATCAGCTCCTTGTCCTGCAGGAGAATGGCTCCTTTCACCAGGTACTCAAAGTAGGAGTCCACTCCTGCCCCAATGCCAGCATCCTGGGCCACCCACTTGGCAGTGATCACATCAATGTGGTTCCCCACCTGCAAGAGGTGAAGGAGGAAGTTAAAGTGAAAATAAAGCATTTCTACTAATTTAGAATTAACAAATCCCCACAACACCCCCACACAAGAAACCCTTGACCTTTTTTCAGACCAGTGGTTCCCAGTCCAACTAGCTTTTTCTTCATTCAACATGGGTGTGTCTGGTCCTAATTCTGATCTTACAAAAGAGTAAAGAAGGATAAAGAGGTGCAAATACAGAGATGGAGGCCAAGAATATCAAAGGCACAAGAGCTGCCATGCTACTATTTAAATAGACCCTTCAGACCTGGGACTCTTCAGCCTATGAACAAACACAGCTGATGAATAAAATACACAGTCATGCCTTGCTTAACAAACATGAAAAAAAAAATAGCTATTCAGCTTCTTTCTTGAATGAGGATTAGGGGTATAAACCAAAAAGAAACAAATCCCAAAGCAAACAAAAGGACAAACAAAACTCTTCATGCAGGCTATGAATAAATCTGTCTCAATAAACACAGGGTATGAATAAATCTGTTTCACTTCACATCTGCAGCACCAAGTTTTCCACACAGGCTAAAAAAGCAGCAACAGAAAAGACCAGGAGACAGTGAACACCAAGGTAACACTTCCAGCTCTGGATATTCCTAAAACATCAAAGCTAAATAGGCTGGGAATATCTTGGTGCACTTGCCATGCTCTTATTCTCTTCCCTAGACCATTGTCCCACCAGGCATCAGACAGATCTTTTATTTAATCTGCTCCAGCTGCTGTCACAAAAGCTGCACTACCCAGCAGGAGGGATTTGTCTCCCAGCCACATCTGTTAGGGGACAGAACAATGGGATAATGTTGGGCTGCACTAGCAAAGCAGAGATGTGGATGCTGCAGGTGTTCAGGAACAATGTCAAACATGAGACTTCAGCCCAGTTATGGGCACTGTGGTTATTTATCCAATGCTATCTCCTCTCTGTTTATGCTTTTTCACACTCAGCATTGCATCCACAAAACCACACAGAAAGCAGCACAGTCCAAGTCCATTCCTCACTCACCAGCCCAATATCTGAGCGATTTTTCCACAGGGCCTTCAAAGCCTTCCTGGCCACATCCTCGAACACTGGGTCACCAGTGAGGTGGCTTAAAGTGGCAAATTCCACTATAAACGTGCCAATTCCAGCAGTACAGGTAACTGGGGTCTCCCCAGGGTTGACTCCATGCAGGAGGTTCACTGTGCCATAGGGCATCCCAGTTGGGGTCTGGAAAGCTGAAACACAGGATTTTTGGGTCACATGAGTGTTCAAGGTCACGTTTAACAGACTCTCAAGCCAACATGTGCTTCACAGCCCACTGCACACGGGCAAGGAGGGGGACTGGAGTGATTGCACAGACTTTAAAGAACACAATGAGCAGCAGTGTGACCCTGGGAGGGGCAGTCCCAAGGTACACACAGTCCTGGGAAGGTACTGTGGATCTCTTCCACCTTGCCAGAGCAGCATCCCTACTTTTTTTCCAGCCAAGTGCCAACACTGAGGTTGTGATCCCTCTGTGGCAGCCCTGGGTGGACAGTGCCATGCCATCAGGGAACACATCCCAGCTGCAGCCCACAGAGAGGAGATAAGGCTGCATCTCCTTGTCTTTACAAGCTGCTGTTTCACAGCCTTTATTTATTATTTATATGAAGTACATTTCCCCTCAGCAAGCCACAAACTGATGTGTTAAGCCCACACAACACTTGATATGCACGTATACAACAGCATTTTCCCTGCAAACTAAACTTGCCTTGAGCTCAGGGAACACAGGGCTGGTTTATGAGCTGACAGATCAAGTTGTACATGTTCACCAAAGCCAGCAGCCACCTCCTAACCCACAGCACAGTGATATAAAGCAAACAAGGGCTCACCTGGCAGCAGTTTACGAGCTGCTTCCTCTGCCATCCTCAGGAGAGGCCCCGAGCATGGCCAGCCCGCCTCGACCTCCACGCCAGCCTTCCTGGAGAGCAGGTGGGCAGAGAGGAGCCCCCCCACCACTGCAAGGGCACAGGAGAACCCACTGAACAATGTGGAAGGAATGAAATCCAACACCAGTTGTATTCTTCTTTATCAGAGGCACGGTTTTACAGGGAAGGGAAGTGAGGTGGCTCGTCCTTCCCGGCCTCATTCGAATGCCACGGAAGAGCGGTTGGATTGTTCCTGCAAGTTTGTGTGTGGAGTGACAGCACAAGGGGTGACTGATGGCTTCAAAGTGACAGAGGGCAGGGTTAGATGGGATATTGGGAAGGAATTCTTCCCCACGAGGGTGAGGAGGCCCTGGCACAGGCTGCCCAGAGAGCTGTGGGTGCCCCTGGATCCCTGGAAGTGTCCAAGGCCAGGTTGGAACAACCTGGGGTAGTGGAAAGTGTCCCTGCCCCTTGGAAACAAGATGGTCTTTAAGGTCCCTTCTAACCCAAAACACTCTCAGATTCTATGATATATTTCTTTAGAAGCATCAGATCCCACTTGCCCTACTACAGCTGCACTGCCCTGAGGACTATCAGGGTGTATATGACATTACACAACAGTGTAATGAACACGAACCTCTATGAGAGGAATTCTGAATCATTTCTTCCACAAAGTTGAATACTATGTTTGTGTAAAGTTCTTAAACTCCTTGGCGAAAACTGCCCAGGCCAGAGACACAGCTTCCTGTTGCTATATTTAGCTATTAGTTTTATATAGCTAATATAGCTATATTAGTTAATATTAGTTATTTCACAGGTTTGTCTACGGTAACAATAACCACCACAAACACAGAGAAATTACACTGCTGTAAAGTTGGCTCAGCAATGTCTGACAGGAGAGACAACAAAAGCATAACTAACAGTTTTGTACCCTGACAGTGTTTTTAGTTGGATGGCACTGAAGCAGTCAGGAATTCAGTCAGGTACAAGACTCCAAAGGCCTTTGTGATTTTCAAGGAGAAAAGGCCAAAACTAGAAATTAATAATCTCTATTCCAAAACAGTGTGTGAAGGAAGACAGGGTATAATCTGTCCCGTTTCAGTGGAAAAGATGTTTATTCCAAGGCTCAAAACCTCACACCAGAATATTGAAACTGCCACGTCTACTTCTGTTTCTGCTGGGGCAGGAAGCTGAGAGGGATGTGCAAAATCAAAAAGGAAGTGAATTTCTTTGGGATTTTTTGCCTGTTTACATGTCCTGTCACTCTGCACCAAAAATTCCCTGTGACCACCACCTCACATTACCCTTGTGTGCAGCTCAGAGGCTTGAACAGGAAGGAAATCCACCAAAAACCCCCCAGGAAAACCCACCTCACCTCGAATGTTGGTTTCAAAGACAGATGCATTGACATCAATGTCGAAGTCCAGCCCTTCCTGCAGCACATTGACAACTCTCTGGAACTCAGAAACGTTCCCCAAGATCTGCAGGGGAGCAGAAGAACAGGGAACAAAGCTTAGAGTTCATGGGAAAACAAGTGGCAGTTCAGTGCTGATTCTAGTTTTGTTTTGCTATTTTGTGAAATCATTAATTACAGATAGTACTAAAAAGGGGACTGACGGTTTCATTGTGTTTAAAATGCTTTCTTGACACATTTTAGGCCTTTATTCCAGAGTTAGGAGCTGTGAGGGATGGGGAGCTCTGGCCACCTGCTCCCCAGGGGTGATGCCAAGTGAAACACAAAGCTCCAGGGTCAACGAATAGCTGACTTTCTGTCACTGCCACGTAAAAAAACAGGTGTGCAGGCAGCTCTCAATGGCCTTGAGGGCACAGTGTGGGTGCTGCAGGTGGTCAGGAACAACGCCAAACACGAGACTCCAGCGCAGTTACGAGCACTGTGGTTATTTCTCTAACTCCACCTCCTCTCTGCTTATTCTTTTTTACACTTAGCTCTGCATCCACAAAACCACGCAGGGCCGGCTCGTACTCACTAGCAGCGTGTCCAGGGCGTCGATGAGCGTGAGGGAGAAGCTGTGAAGGAGGAGAGAAGCGAGGTGAGACCCGGCGGGGGGTGGGGGAAGGACGCTCAGGGAAAGGGACACCCCTCACCTGCCCCAGGTGTCCTGCCCGTCGCAAGTCAGCGGCCGCAGCTCGTCGTAGGGGA